AACATGAAGGCGAATCTGGACCTACTAGAAGAACACCGAATTCGGTCCGAACTCAAAAATGCTGCATACAAGCAAAGACATGAGAAATATATTAACTCTAAACTCAAACCCCGTGCATTCCGAGTTGGAGATTTGGTCCTCAAGCGTATCATGGGGCCTGACCCCGGACCACTCAAACCGCGGTGGGAAGGACCCTTTCAAATCATCAAGATCCTACCTCATGGGGCCTACCGAATTGCTCATCCCGATGGAACACCACATCAATATCCTTGGAACGCGGTGTACCTGAAAAAATTCTATCAATGAAGGATCCGAAGTCGCATAATCGACCCCCCTTTTGTACGGACCTTCTTTTTTGCTTCGGTGAACGCTTGAAATCACCTCTTTTGATGTACTGATGTACCGAATGTCGAGCAGCAAGCTTGATACCGATGTAAACCTTTTACGAACATGGTTATCAATATCATGCTGAAGTAAACATTGCAACACTCGGCCTAGCCGATACCCTGTAATACACCCAAATCCCACGTATGGTTTGGTCGGGGTTGAAGCTCGTCAAACGCCATTTCAGCTAAATATGATTTGGCGGGTCCCGATAATTACCGAACACTTATTCAAATAATTCGGTTGGGACCATTCCATAATCGGACTCTGACGAAGTCCGGTGACTTACATTTTATTTCCCGTACAGCCCTAAAAATGCGTTGAGTTTTGCGAAGTTATCTGAAAACTCGCATAATCGACTCACGCTTGCGGCTGAAATTCTAATAAATGATCAAAGTGGAATTCGGATGTTATATTTATAAAAACTTACAACTCGGATCACGATTTGAGTAATTCCGAGTTGAAGCAGTTTGCCTTCTAAAAACCGAATTCACAACACTTGGTCGAAAATATTGCTGAAATTTGTACGGCAAAACACACAAACAGAATCAAACATATTCAAACACTTCATATATAATATTATTTCAGAACAAAAGTCTGGGAAATCCTTTACATAGTAATTCCTACTAAGGGAGTCGGCTATCCAACATCCCCGATTACACACCATAAAACTTAGAAATATTTCCTACTAAGGATGCCGACATGCCGGCACCCCGATTATCTTACGCAAGTTCGATCAAGTAAAAGAAGATAACAAAGACAAGAAACAGAAAATCAATCCCGGACCTCCTCGGTTGGTTTCTCCACATTTTCCCCGGTGCCACTGCTTTCACCGACTTCAACACCAGAGGATAATCGCTCTAAGACCTGCAACTCCTTTGCCTTAGCAGCAGCTTCCACGGCCCCATCTGGCACCGGAATAAGCTCGTCACGAGGATCAGTCAGCTTCCCTGCATCATCACCAACCGGCGAGACCACTTTCACAATCTCCACATCCTTGTCGGTCAGCTTCGCCTTCTCCTCAAGGTATGCTTTAACTCGGCCTTGGATTTGCTCTGGAGTCATGTCATCAAAGTGCTGCTCGACCTCCACCTCGGCCA